GAATTTGAAAAAAAAATGTTTCCTTTAATCAGTGGAATGTTCCTTTCTGTATTTCAGGAGAGTGTATTAGCAAAATCTGAATTAAAACTTTAGCTAATTTATATGTATCAGCTGAAGTTTTATATATAATACTGAATTATACCCAGTGCTAGGACCTTCCTTAATTGGAACCTATTGAACATGTTTCTAGTTGACAATGCATTTGAGGAATTGGAAAAATAGGTTAAAATTTAGCGTTTGGAACTGACCACTGGGGTTTAGCAGCTCTGCTGGAAACAGGCAAAGCTGCTTCAGAGCAAAAGGGTACTTCAGAACTAAGGCTCATATTATCATCTTGAATGTCACTACACACCTGAGAGGAGTTTCTCATGAAATCATGCTGAGACAGCAGAGCATCATCTCATTACTGCTAGCCATATCTCAGCCACTGGCCAGATCTGCCATTTTGCTCAGCCCTGGGTTGGAGGCAGTATCGTATAACCATTTAATAACTAAATACTCAATACTACATTTTCAAATGAAAATAGGTTGTTTTTAGTATTGATGGCATTTCTTTAAATGAGCTTTTTAATTTGCCTACTGACTGACTTTATATATTTAGCAGTTTCAAAATATAAATGTAGGTGTTTTCGCTGTCAAATTACATGGTAGGAGTCAAGAAAAGCAAAGAGAGGTTCTGTCACTTTTCCCATTCCAGTCTGTGAAAGCAGCACTTAAAATGTGTGTGTGTGTGTGTGTGTGTACGCACGCACGTGCGCGTGCGCGCACACACACACACACACTGCATCTTTTAAGTGAATGCAGTTCACTTTTAAACTACTGTAGTTTCCAAAGTTCCAGATGGACAGATCTGGGACACTTATCTTCTACTCTGGACTGAGAACACTGATTTCATATGGACCTCTGCACAAATGCTCTGTCACTGGAGATATAAGCCAGTGTCTTAATTGAATAATTGTTTACAAAGAGGTAATCCGTTTGGTGGTGTCATTCATTTATACTAAGCTGTTTTTTATTTTGCTCCATCTTTGGCATATGATAATATTGTTCATATTCAAGAGAGACTTTTATTAATTCAGGGTCGAATTTTCAAAAGCACCTGAGTGACTTAAGAGTGCCATTTTTTTTCTGTTTTTTGGGGAGGGTTTAATGAACCTTTTGCCTCTATTTTAAAATGTCACCCTTAGTAATAAAAATAGAGGTTTTTTTCTTATGTCTCCAAACACCTGATATAAGGGCAGTTTGTAGAGGTGCACTGATACATCAGTCCGATATTGGATCGGCACTGATATAAATAAAATTAACTATATCGGAAATTGGCCTGAAGTGACTGATAGTTTGGCTAATAAATGCTTGTGCATGCATGCAACTGCAGTGCAGCATGCAGGCAGTGAGGAGCACAAGCCTGGCAGCTTGGAGAGTTGTGTCCAGCTGGTAAGTCTGGTGTGGTGGAGGGGAGGGGGAGGGAACAGATCAATGTCCCCGTGGTGAGAGAGGGAGTAGGGCTGGGGTAGGTGCTGCCCAGCTGGGGTGGGGCAGGGTGCAGGATGGAGCCACAGCTCGTCTGGGGGGAGTGGGGGGTAGGAGTGCAGCTCCCACCACTTCACGCTGCTCATCTGGCATCTCGTCCCCCTGCTTGGCCCCAGCAGCTGAACCAGCTGCCAGACAAGTGGCACAAAGTGGCAAGAGCCGACCCCTGGACAAGCTGCACCCACCCCACCCTGGCTGGACAGTGCCTACCCCAGCCCCATTCCCTCCCTCACCGTGGGGTCACACACGCTGCACTCCGGAGGGCCCAGGGGAGGGCAGCAGGGCTGGAAGCATAGCTGCGCAACCTAGAGCGGCAGCTCACAGAGGGGCTGCACAGGGAAGCTGCCTGCTGCTGCAAGCTCCGTGCTGCCCGGGTCACACTTCCCCTGTGTGCATCGGAGCAGCGTGGGCAGCACGCAGGGTTGTGCCCCTCACTGCTGCCCCCACCTGCAGGGGAAGTGTGAGCAGGGTAGTGGGGAGCTTAGAGTGGCAGGCAGCTTTTTGCGCCCCCTTTTGTGCCCTGCTGCGCCGGGTTCCACACTGTGCTCTACAGAAGCAGTAGCGAGGGCACATAGCGGGAAGCATCGCTGGTATCTGCTGCCTCCCCGCAGCCCAGGGCTGGGTCTGGGAGGTAGCTGGGGCCAGGGCCATGGCAGGGAGGCAGCAGCTGTTTGCAGCCTCCCCACTGCAGCCGGCCCAGGTTCTGGGTAGCTGCTGATAGCCATGGAGCCTGGGCTGGGAGGCAAGGGCTTTGGGTGGGGGTCAGGGGCGTAAGCAGGGCTGGGGGACAGGGACTTTGGGTGAGGGACAAGGGGCATGAGCAGGGCATCCTGCCATGTACCCCCTGCCCTCGTTTTGTTTTTCTAGCATGCCAGCACTCTGGCACCTTCCAAGGAAGGCTTTGTGGTTTTTTTAGGTACTCCGGGCAAAGTCTATGCCATGCTTTTAAATCTCTAAAATTGTTATTTAATGTTAAATGTAACCACTCATAGATGTAGCTATTAATTAAATGGGTTGGGTTAGATTAGATTAGAACAACAATGTTTTTCAACAGAACAAAACGGTGTTTTGTCCAGCAATATCAATTATAAATTGGGAGTAACAAAGGAATTTACAATGTTGGTGTTTTATATTCATACTAGCAAATTGCCTATCAAGAATGAGGGGTGGGGGCGGGGGAGAACAGGGATGGAGTGCTGTGCACCACCACCACCTCCCAGGATCAGTGGGCAGGGCGGGGGAGCTTGCCACGTGGTGGCCACCACCACCAACCACTGGCCCACGCTGCCGCCACTCTGCATGTAGCTGCGCAGCGCCCCCCCCCCTTCATGTCTGACCATCTGTCTGTGCGGAGCACTCTGGTTGTTTCAGTAAGTATTGTGATTGGCTGCTGAGACAACCAACCAGAGTGCTCCAAGAGCATTACGGACAGACAGACAGACAGCCATGCTAAGCCCTTTATTTTTATGTGTGTGTGTGTGTGTGTGTGTGTGTGTGTAAAATATAATATAATTCGTAACTTTCAGTTATTTCTAAAGTATTTCTTGAAGGTACAGGTTTCTTTCAGAATCTGTAGAAGATATAGACTATTAATAATTTTTTCTTACGCTAGTTTTTCATTTGTGCCAAAAACAAGACTTAAGTGCTAAAACCACTCTTATTTTTCTAGGACTTGGTAGGGGATTTATATGTAGAAGAATTGGTGCATATTATTTTCAAATGAGCTAGTGTTTGGAAACGGCACTGATAAAGTCTGATGTGAGCTATGAGCTACTTTACTTAGGTAAAAAGGAAGTCACTATTGTGAGAGGCTTGAGGGCATGGTTGAGTAAGAAAATGGGAGAGTAAGTCTGAGTATAACCCTCGCTCCCCAAAAACATTTTATGCTTAATGACCAGCACACCTTTTAGTTAAAAACCCTCTAAAATACATAAAACAAAATAAAACAAAAAAACCCCCAAACACTGGTTGAAACCCTGACTGAAACATGCTGTAGAAAATTGCTTTCCTTCAGTGAAGGAATTCTAGCATGGAGCAGATAAATGCAGATGGTAATTTGGAGAGAGTATGTTTAAATATCAGCTGTAGCATAAACAAGTTAACTTAGAAATTCAAATGGCATTTATGCAAATATTACTTCATTGTCATGAAGTTAAAAGAATCAAAAGAAAAAAACAGTGGGAGGAGGTGAGCTGTTTCTGCACCTTGACAGAGGGCTTTATTTAATAATTAATAAGCTTTAATGGAATAACAATTTCAAGAACATATGCAAAGCTAAAATGTAGGCAGCAGGAAACTCATCCTAGAACGACATACTTGTGATTTTAGTTCCAAAATGTGGATACAAATGCTCTAACTGAAATACTGTATATTCTGTAATTCTTGATTCCTTCCTCCCCCTCTCTCTCCCCACCACAGTGGTACTAAATCTGTGGCCCAAAAGCTGGATCTGACCTATGGTATGGGGAATCAGCAGCAAAGCAACTTGACCTGGCACATCCCTTTTCCTGTCCTGTGCCATGTTACTGATCCCTCTGCAGGCAGAAGTAAGCTCTTTTCCTCTCTGCTGCCTCCTCTCTCCCTCCATATGTCAAGTTCCCTATATTGATACGTGAAAAGAGGGATCTTGTCTCAGTGTATGAGATTTATATGTTTCATTACTGCTCTGCTTAAATACTGGATTGGTTCTATAAACTGATATTTAAGATTCAAGAGCACTTGGTATGGGGGCTTTGCAGTAACCTTCAGCAAAGGTCACTTGAATACAAAATTCTTGGTAGGGGATTTGGCTGGAAGAAGTGGTCTAAAAGTCTAGCATGTGGCCCTAAGATTTGTTCTGGATATGGTTCCTTTCTGAAGGTGAAGGTCAACAAAGAAGCTGGCAGGCATTTAAGAGAAGCTTGAGAGAGTCCAGAAGAGAGCCATGCACATAATCAGAGGGCAGGAGAACAGGCCTTACAATGAGAGGCTAAGAGCCATGGGACTTTTCAGTCTGGAAAAGCGCAGGCTCAGGGGGGACCTGGTTGCTGCTTATAAGTATGTAATGAGTGTACATCAGGATCTGGGGGAATGCCTGTTCACCAGAGCACCCTGAGGGATGACAAGGTCAAATGGCCACAAACTCCTCTAAGACCTTTTCAGGCTGGATGCAAGGAAGAAGTTCTTTACTGTCCGGGCCCCAAGGCCTGGAACAGACTGCCTCCAGAGGTGTGGTGCAAGTACCCACTCTGGACTCCTCTAAGAGACATTTGGGTGTTTATCTTGCTGGGATCCTTTGACCCCAGCTGACTTCCTGCCCCTGGGGCAGGGGGCTGGACTCTATGATCTTCCGAGGTCCCTTCCAGCCCTAATGTCTATGAAGTCTATGAAGATAACCGTAAAGCCAGTGGGTTTGGAAAAACAACCTATGGCTGGTTAGTATCCCAATTACAGAAATTGTCTGATGCCAGAAAGAATGAGACTTGCAACATTTTAATCAAGAGATTCTTACACTGTCATGCTTGCAGAAGGTATTTTAAAAAGATACAGTATTCCATTCTTACAATCGAGACAAACATGTTACAATAGAAAAATGTAGTGTTTGACTTTCATTTAAATATAAGGACTTGATGTAAACGTGTTTATGTGCACCTGCAGCTGTGGCAAGAGAACCTGATTTTTCTTAGGCAATATGTAAAGGTAAAATGAAACAGCAGATGTCTCTTTTGAAGTTTCACTGTGATGTGCAAGACAGCTGATGGGGGGTTACATATGACTTCAGACTTGGTGAAGTGCTGATGTAAACAGTAGTTACAAATTGGGAAAAAACTTAAACCTTTGGATAGAACCTTTTAGATGAAATTAAGAGAAACAAAATATCAATGGCTCAAATGCATCCTAGAACAATGAATAAGCTATACTGTGTAGTTCTTAGCAAAGCTGTCAAAGTTTCATTCGTATGAAAAAAATCAATAACTTTTTTCTGCTTCTCCACATCAGTATGTTGTAATGAGTTTTTTTCCACTGGTATGGCAGCTTCATTATGTAAGTGGCAGCACCTTACATATGCCAGGAAAGTAGCAATCTCTGATAATCAAGTTATATCTAGAGTCTTCCTAGCCGGATAAAATTTTCTGCAATATTATCATTCATACAAGTATAAAGCAAATACAGCCCCCCTCATTGCTAGGTTTTTAATAATCCTGTTCATTATTAAATACAAATGACTAAAATGTATTCTTTCACATTAAAGTCTTGTCATAAAAATATTTAGAGTATAAACTTTCAGTCCTCAGTAGGGCAGGATATGTACATATTTTTCTGTTAGTAACAAGCATTTTGTTCTATATTTGCAGTTTTCACAGTTGAATGTTTTTATACAACCCTACTAAATTAAACTTCTGATTGCTCATTGCTGTCAGGAATGACAGACTTTAGGGCAGCATGACAAAAGCGATTTAATGTTGACATTTTAGTTTTCTGCTCAATGTACAGCCGTAGTTTATCTCTAAAAGTTTCACCTAGAAAACTGTAAATTAGTGGGTTCAGGCAGCTGTTAGAAAAGGCTGCCAGGTTTACAATATGTCCTGTTAAGGGATAATCATGTCTAAAAGATTGACTGCTTGATGAAGCTGGCTCTCCTTTTTCTTGAAGAAGCTGAACGCTGATGAAGACATTTTCAGGTAGCCAACAGATAAAGAAAACAAGGACAACTACAAAAATCATCCGAAGAGCCTTTTGCCGCCGTAATCGAAGACTCTTGTGTTTGTGCGCTTTTATGAGAACTCGAACAATTAACGAGTAACAAAGACCGATGATCACAAAGGGGATGATAAACCCCAATGTTATTTCTAGCCACTGGATTTCTTTCACATCTGCAAAGCAAAAGTAGATCTCTCCAGTGTGTTGTAAATGTACAACTGTAAATGGCACCAGTGATGCAGAAATTGATGCCATCCATATGAGGCCGCAGCTTAATCTAGCATGTTGCATGGTGCGAAATATGTTGGACCTCATTACTTTTGTAAGTGCTATATATCTGTCAAAACTCATCCATGTCAGAAAGAAGATGCTGCTATACATGTTGATCTGAAGGAACAAAGACATGAAAGTACAAATAATAGTGATATCGTAATACTTCTCATCAAGATTAAAAACCTCAATGAGGGAGTCAGCAACTAAAATGAGGTCAGCTACTGCAAGATTTATGAAGTAAAGGTCTGGAATAGTCATTTTTTCACGAAAACTTATGTTAACAACCAAAATCAGAATGTTTCCAACAAAGCCAATAGGGAAAAGGAATATAGTGTAAAGACATGATAAGAAAAGCCCAATAACATATTGTTCATGTTCATCTGATTTATCAGACAAGCTAGATGATATGCTTTCATTACACAAATGTGAACCATTAGGTTTCAAATATGTGTTGTTACAAATAACTGATGATATTGCTGCTGTGTAAGCTTCCATGGTTCTGATCTCTGCTGGAAAGATTACATCAGTATTTGCACTTTGTATTTAGGGCCAAATGGTTAAATTATTGGCATTTCCAAAGACATTAATAACAATTATTTTAAAGATTTGAAGAAAGATCTACTTTTTTCATAGGACATTATAACTTGTTAAAATGGAGCAGAAGGCAAGGCAGTTTGGCTTGAAATTGGCTGAATGTTATCAATTTCCAGAAAACTAAATTATTTAAGAAATTTGCTATTTACAAGGTACCATCCACACTGCAGATGAGAGTCTTAACGTTTTAGATTATGTAGAAACTTTTTGAATGTAATGATTGTTTGTATTGCATAATGCAAGTTTTTCTTCAAGAGTGTTCCTTGTTGCAGATTGGAAAGTGGCAGAATTTTAGCTCCATTTGTCTCTTTTTTACTAATTCCTGAACAGCCTTAGACCTGCAAAAGGCAAATGGAAAAGCATCAGTTTCATGACTAGAAGACTAACTTAAAAACTCAAGTAGTCTATTTACAGGAGCCATGCATTTATAACTTACCCTTAGGTGTCCAGGAACATGATGTTTAAATATACATAAACACATCTTCAGCAAAAATGCAGTTAATATACATGAAAAGATATATTATTGGGACCATGTCGATCAAACATTGCTTTACATATCACGGACTCTTAATATGGCTAAGTATGAAAGAGGAATAAACCAGTCAGGGTGCCCTGTTGACCTCTGGAAAAGACAGCAGCTTTTTTATGTATCACATTCCTTTTTTTCCTGCTTAACTAGCACACTTTTATTTAATAGCATAGATTTTGGCTGTGAAAATCTGCAGACAGATGAAATATACTGATTCTGTTTGCAAAGAAAGAGAGAAAGAACAGGCATCATTTTAAGGCATCAAGATGGTATAAAGCTAATTTGTATTAATTTACACCAACATCTTTGACTCTTTCTGTTTTTTTGCCATACATTATACTGCATTAACTTAAATATGGGTGTTCAAAATGGGTGTTCAAAATAAGGATGTTTTATAGATGTAAAATGATCTAGACTTCAAGTTTTGGCAAGCTTCCTAATTAAAAAAGCACACAAACATGCAGAGAACAAAAAGACCATGATGTATTAAAATACCTTTATAGTTGAAATTTAATTTCAAGTTAGTTGATTTAATTGTTTTAAAATAATAAACCTGCTAATAGTAAGATGATTACATTGGACGCTGCCATATAAAACATGAAACTGTTTACTTGTGTAACACTAGCAAAATTATATTTGGGGGTACATATGAGATATATATTTTGTTTTTTGTTCTCAATTTAATTATTTAAAATACCACTGGTTCACAGTCCAGGGACCAAACCATTACTGGATCAAGTTTATATTAAAACGAATTGAAGCTATTACTGGTAATTAATAGATATTTATAGAATAAAAATCCAAAAGTATAGTTTCTCTCTTATAGAGAGACTATATATATATTATATATAAAAAATGAAATAGGAAAGGGCGCGTTATATTTTTTGCTGCTTTTTGAGACTTTGTTTATCCAAAGGCATTATTGCATGTATATGAGGCAGGTTTGATTTTTTTTTTTTTTT